GCCCAGCCTCCACCACCCCAGGGAAGGGCAGCGAGGCCCGAGACCCAGAGAGGCCGAGGCGGCAACAGAGGAAACAGCCTTTCAGGAGGCTGGGAGTCCAGGTTCCAGGTGGTACACGGGGTCCCCACTCCACTGACCCCATTCCTGCACCCCACAACCCCTCCAGGACCCACAAAGAACTGGCCCCCGACCCAGGCCTCCATGTTTCTCCCAGGAATTCAGAGCCACAACTGCTAGCAGAGAGTCTGTTCTGCACCTGGCCCCCAACCAGGGGCCCTGAGACGACCCAGGCCCTCCCTACCCGCACACCCTCAGAGGTTGGGGGCACAGGAGGGAGGCTCTGAAGAGCGGTCCATCAAGTTGCTGCTGCTGCCTGGGCACAGTCCCAATCTGGGACCCAAGGGCCTGACAGCTGCCCCCAACCCCAGAGGAAACACTCTGCAGGTAGGGCTGGGCCTCCCCACATCTTATTTCCTTCCTCCAAACACCCTCAAGCCTGCCTGGGTCAATTGCTCTCTCTGCTGGCCAGGGGCCTGGCACTTTCTTTCATGTTTATAATGTTTGAACAGCCTTGGCTCAGTGCCACCTCTTCCAGGGAGCCTTCCTAGATGCCCTAACCAAAATAAATTGGTCCTGGGGTCGGCCCGGTGGCACAGCGGTTAAGTTCACATGTTCCGCTTCTCAGCAGCCCAGGGTTCGCCGGTTCAGGTCCTGGGTGTGGACATGGCACTGCTTGGCAAAGCCATGCTGTGGTAGGCGTCCCACATATAAAGTAGAGGAAGATGGGCACGGATGTTAGCTCAGGGCCAGTCTTCCTCAAAAAAAAAAAATTAAATAAATAAATAAATAAATCGGTCCTTCCACTGCTGCCTCACACAGGACTGTAATTTGTCTGCTTTTATGTCTGGGTCCCCATTACCTGCAAACTCATCCAGGGCAGGGGTCTTGGGTCCCTCATTCCTGGGTCCCTCCCAACCCCCTCCTCTGGCCATGATACACGAGGCCCTCCAGAAGAGCAGGGGGGAAGTGAGACAAAGCGCTCATCCCTCAGTTTTAGTCATGAATTAACCACAGCGCACAGACCCCTCCAAACGTCTGTCCCAGGCGCCCTCGGGTGAGTGGCCCCCCGGATGGCAGAAGTGGAGGGGTGATGGTCGCTGACTCCCACTGCAGGCTCCAGTTGGAAATGAGGATCAAGCCACAGGTCTAGACACGGTGCTTCTCACCAGAGCAGCCAAGATCCACACGGCTGCCAGTCTGTCCGCACAGAGGGGGTTTTCTTCAGACTGTCTCACAACTGGAAGGTTCGCTCAGCCATGAGGGCCAAGCTTGGGACTGGTATCTTTTCCTCTCTGTACCTGCAGCCCAGCCCAGGCCTGGCATGGAGCAGGCCCAGGACCAGCCAGGGAGGGAGGAGTCCACCACAGGTTTATGGGACCTGGCTTCAAACTCCCCCAGCAAAGCCTGCCCCGTGTCACACAGTGCCACTGCCGGAGCTGGAAGGAGCTCCGAGCTCATCCATTCCAGCCTCCAAGATGCACCCAGGAGGTGAGTGAGGCCCAGAGAAGGAGGGCAGCTGGCCCAGGGTCACACAGCCATGTCTTCCAACTCCCGGCCCAGACTCTTTTCAGGTAACAGGCTGCCACATCCCCACTCTGGGCCCCCTCTCCTATCCTGCCCTTCCTTCAAGGTCAGACCAAGGCCCACCTGCCCAGTGAATCTTCTGGGATCCCACCCCCAGCCCTGCCCAGCGTGGTGCTCCCTCACTTGCTTGCTCAAGCTCTTCCTTCTGCCCACAATGCCCTCCCCACCCACTGGCCCCAGCAAACTTCTACTCATCCTTCAAGGCCCAGTTCAAATACCACCTTCTCTAACACCAAAGATAATAATCACTCCCATTTACTGAGGACACACCCGCATTGTGCTCTGGAAAACCAACAGGTTAATGTTGAAACTACCTGTGGGGTACCCCCTGCGTGGCACCCAAGGTCCTTGAGGGCAGGGACCTGACTCTCTGCAAAGCAGGGTAAAAATGTCTACATACCTCATATGACTGAAGGGCTTGCAAACTGTAAAGTCCGGTGCTAACAGAAGCTATCTGTATTATCTTCATATGTGCCCCCGTGACTCAGTTTCCTCATCTACACAGCGGGTAGAGTTAATGAACGCATGTGAGAGTGTGCACTGTGCCTGGGCTGTGGGAAGGACTCGTTACCGCTGCTGTCATTATTGGTGTCACTTTCATTTTCTTACATCTCCCTGTGGACCCTGCCCACAGCCAGCGCTCTGTACACATCTTTTTGGAATGAATGACTTCCACACTTGAGATGTTGAAGAAGATGGGTTGAAACCCAGAGACCACATAAGGATGCAGAGTCGAATCTTATCATCACAGAAATGCTGCACTGTGGCCTCTGAGCCCGAAGTTGGCTCAGCCGGGTCACTGTGAACAGCTCCTCGCTCTCACAGGACACAGGGCAGTTTTCTGGAGTGGCCGGAAGTGAGGAAATCTCTGCCCTGGGGAGGCCTTTGTGCTGGGCTGTGGCCCCTGTCAGGGACATGGGCGGCGAGCCCGCTGGGAGCTGGAGTTAGGGACTGGCTTCTGGAGACAGCTGAGGGCACAAGCAGGGGCCTGGTGCTAAGCAGGGCCCCAGCCCGAGGCTCAGGCCATGAGGTCCCACCAAGGGTGGGGAAAAGAGGTGGGGGTGCCCATGGAGCCATACCCGGGGCCTCAGTTCCACTGCGGAACCGGCTGCCAGAAGTCCATGCCTGGACAGCCTCTGAGACCTGATCCAGCTTCTGCAAACGTCACACAGAAGCCATTTCCGTCTGCCAGGGAGCATCAGTGCAGCCCCTCTCTGGACAAACGAGAAGAGTAAAGCCCAGAAATGGCAAGTGACTTGCCCAAGTCACACAGCTGATGAGAACATTCACTCAGAGGCCACCAAAAGTCAGCAACACCGGCTGAGCCATGCCCGGCCCAGGCCCACTGAGCAGCCTCCCGCTCCAGCAACCAGAGAGCAGCTTGTCGTCGTGTACACTGCACCGCATGGCCATGTGACCTTGATCAGGGGGCGCTGGGCCAGGGACCTTCGTGGCCACGGTCCCTGCAGCCCCTAGCAGTTCAGTGACCACTTGTCAACGGTCTGCTGGGTTGGTTCAGTGACAAAGAGATTCTCAGGGTGCAAAGGGGGTAGACAGTCACCTACTAATGGTGACAATCATCCACGCATGTCTCCCTTTATGCACCCAGGGTCCTTCTATGGAGGTTGTCAAAGAAGCGGGAGCCCCAGCTCCGTCCCTGGACAGCTTAAGTCTACGTGGCTGATGACCTTAGGAGGTCACCAGGCAATTCAGCCAAGCCACTGGTTTGCCCTGGCACTTTCTGTCTCTCCCTCTGCAAAGACACTGCATCCCTGGATGATTCCGTACATCACTTTGGATTTTCAAACCAAAACTTGTGGCCACAGCACAGCGCGAGTCAGCAGGCTGACCGAGGGCTCGTGCCGCACGGAGCTGCTGAGTCAGGGCGGGCGGCTGCCGGGCCTCAGAACAAGGGCTCCACCTCCTCCAGCCCTCCTGACGACCTGGGCTTCTCCAAGTCTGCTCCACAGAACCCTTGTATTCTGAGTGATTCCCGTGTGCTCAACTTTGAGAACTGCCTAGACCACACCTCTCAAGGGGCCCTATTGCCTCGAATGGGGCAAAAATTGGTTCTTTGGAAGGCAAAAAATGTACTCTTCTTATATATAAAGATATACATACAGTTTATAAAAAGATATTCAGTACATCTGTGGTATTAAAATGTCATGAGAGGGCAATTAGGAAAAAATGTCTAAAAAGGCTCCTCAAGAAGGTGATAATGAAAAAAAGATTTAGAAACACTGGCCTAGACAAAGGCAGCAGTGACATTCAGAGGAAGACCCCTCCTAAGAAGAGGAAGATGGTGAGAAGTGCTCCCAGCCCTGCCCATGAGGAAAGACCCCTCCTTTTCATCCCCCCCATCTCACTCAGCCCTCTCTTACAGCCGAAGGGCCAAGGGGCAAGTGGGTCCTCTCCTGGGACACATCAGCTCATCCCTGGCAGAGTAGAGACCATGGACAGAGTGCCACCTGGGCCCTGGGGCTGCCACTCAGGCTCACGAGGGCCTGACACACCAAAGATGGAGCAGCGAGGGGCACAAGATCCAGCACAAATTGAGCACGAGAAAGAGGGAAGCCACTGGTGGCCTTCTGGTTTGCAACACGGAGCCAACTAGCAGGGGTGTTCCCTGCACCTGGGAAGAGGGTCCGAAGAAAGAGCTCACAGAGCTTGCTTCGGACCAGGAACAGGGGGATGAGGAGGACATGGCAGTTAGAACACTAACAGTGGTTAACACGACAGAGCCTTGACCACATGCCAGGCAGGTGCCAACCACCAACCATGCTGCCCAGCGATGTAGGCCACATTTTCACCACCAGAGCATCAGCTCCATGAGGGCAGGGACCCTGTCTGTCTCGGGCACTTCCATATGGAGGGCCTAAACACTGCTGGGTACATGGGACATGTGCAGTAAATGTGTGCAGAATGACTAAATTCTTGCTTCACGCATAAGGGAAAGAACCACAGGGAGGGCAAGGACCATACCCGGAGCCTCATGGTTAGTGAGTGGCACAGCCAGGATTCATCCCCAGCGGAGCCCACCCTCCTCACCCCAGCGTGTGTCTGGGCTCACAGATCCCTGACAGGTGAGTCGTGGTCCTGGTACATCAGCAGATGGTGAGGGGCTGAACAGGATAAGGTACCATCCTAACTCTGCCACTTCACACCTGGCAGAGTGTGGACCTGGGAGCCAGCAGGGCATGCAGGGTTCTCTGTGGAAGGCGGCGAAGCCTCCGCCTGCACACGGTGCCCATAGGAATCCCAAACACAGGGGAGCCAAGGAGAAACCATGTCAGCCTGGCTCAGACGGCCAGGGACTGGGGCGGGGCGTGGGGTGAGGGATGTAGGTTGTTCCTTACCAATCCGTCGCAGTTGCTGATGGCGACAGCTGCCCCAGGCATGCCCGTGACACCCCCAGTATAGACACACTCCCGCCGCAAGGGCTGCCGGAACAGCTCCTGGAAATCCTCCTGCCACTGCACCGAGGCTCCGGGCACCACCAGCCGCTGGTTGGGTTGCAGGTGCAAGTGCAGTTTGTCCCCAAAAATAGTGACGTTGAAGTAGAGGGAGGGGCGCCCCGCCCAGCCAGGCCGCAGCGTTGCTCCTTCGGGGCGCCGGGGGCTTCGGGCCACCCGGAAGTGACTGGAGTGTGACAGTGGTGCGGGTGGCCTGTCCACTATCGCACTCCCTGCGGAGGCTGCTGCTGGCCCTGACACCACGTGGGAGAGGAAGCGTCCCCGAAAATCTGTGCTGCAGGGCACTGTCACATCATAGTCACCAAGCTTTCCGGAGAGGTGCAGCTCTGTTGGAGGTAAACCAAGAGTTACTTCAATGCAGCCTGTGCAGAGGGAAGGGAAGCCAGAAATCCCAAGGGGGCAGGGAGGGATCTGCAAGCCTGAGCATCACCTGGGAGGGACCCCTTGGCCCAAGCTCATCCATTCCCCATCCAGCGCTTCCTGAGCCCCTGGATCTCCGCACCCCGATGAATGGTGTTCAAGTACTTTGTGGACACAAATTGCTCCCTGTAGTCCCCAGGTCCTTGTTAAACTTAGCGGAAGAAAACAAATGATGCCAAACAGTCCTGTCACTCTGGCAACAAGCCTTCCAACCTTGGGCACTTGGAGGAAAGGACTGGAATTCTCCGAATGCCCCCAGGGCAAAGAGAGGGAAGGCCGGACCTGTCCAAACTCCCCCAGTGTGCTGAAGCCACCAGCCCAGCCTGGGGCAGCGCCCTCGTCGCCAAGCTCTGGGAACACGGCTGGCAAAACAAACACACCTAGAAACCCAGGGGATCCTGGGCACGCGTCAAGGAGAAAGGAGGAGCGGAGAGAGAAGGGAGGGGACACAGGCCTGTAGTTTTCCAAGTTTAGAAAGAGAAGTTTTTAAGCAGCACAGTGGCTGCTGAGATTTCTACGTGGCCCAGCCCCAAGCCGGGTAAATATAGATCTTCAAAAATAAAAGGAGGCGCACGGGGTGACCTGCCCACTCGGACTGAATTAAGTGTGAGGTCATGGCCCCACGCTCCAGGCTGCACGCCAGTGGCCCCATCCTCACGCAGCTTTCCCGGAGCCCAGCCAGGCCGGGCAGGAATGACAGCTCCCTGGCTTCCAGGCCTGGTGATTCACGGATACAGTTTGGGAGGAATTTTCATTTCTGTGCGGCTCTATCTCTTGCCTCCCCAACCCCCTTCACGGCACTGATAAGACCTGGAAAATGATGGGTCCTGAAAATGCCCCATGTCCAAAGCAGTTATGGGTGGGGGAGGACTAACCCTCCTCAGGTTTTACCCATTACAGCAGAAGACCCCCCAACACTTCAGCTAGAGAGATCCTGCTCTGGTACATGAACAGAGCTCACAGACAAGCAGGCACCCTGCCTGGAAATGACTGGAGCCCCCTTTCCATGCTCAGAGCCCCCAGGAAGGCACCCCACACTGCAAGGTGAGGGTGGAGAGTGTCTGGTCTGGGGAGTGAGGGTGTCTGCAGAGAGCGCACAGAGAGAATGCTGGGGGAGAGAAATGTAAGTGTGTTTCCATGCAGAAGTGTGGGTGAGCGCTGGTGCTCACTGGGGTATAAGACAACCACCTGCCAGAATGATTCTGTGCATGTGACAGACACATGCACACACATACACACACATGCACACACGGATACAAGTTGGAGACAAAGATACTGAAAGAGAAAGACACACAGGAGAGACAGAGAGAGAGAAACACAGAGACAAAGAGACAGATACACAGCCCCTAAGAAGAGGCTCCGTGTTCCCAAATCCTCTCCTGGGATCTCTCTCTACATCTTGTGGCAGAAAGGGAGAGAAATCGCAGAACAGCGTCGGTGGCACATGGGAAAGGAAAGCGAGCTCAGCCCTGGTGTGCGCACCGCCTCCCACCCGCTCCAAAGCTGCTGTCTCTTGGGGCACCCTTGGGCCACCCTGACCCGAGTGCACCCCGGCCCCCACGCGCCCCCACACGCCCCCGCGCGCCCGGCCCGCACTCACCTGGGGTCCGGCTGCCCGCGGCGGCGCAGAGCGCACAGTGCAGGGGCAGCAGGCAGGACAGCAGCGCACCGAGCGGAGCCATGTGGCCGCGCGGGGACGCGGGCCGGGCAGGCGTCCGAGCCCCGAGCCCCACGCTGCGGGCTAGGCTGGGGCGCGCCTGGGGCTGCTCGCGGGCCGGCCGGCCGGTCTCCGCCTTCTCCGCCGACGCTTCTTCCCGCCTCGCAGCCTCCTGCCCACCCGCTCCCGGCCCCCCGCGCGGCGCCGCCGGCTGGACCGCTGGCTCCGGGCACCCGAGGCTGCCGGCAGGCGAGCGGAGCGGCCAACGCGCCAGCGCCCCTGTGCCAACTGCTGGCCACTCAGCCCGCCCGAGCCGGGACGCTCCAGGACGGGGCCGGAGCCGGGCGAGGGGGTGGTGGGGCGGGCCTTGGGTGGGCACTCTGGCGGGGCGGGGCGGGGTTGGAGCGGGGGGCGCCGTGCGCCCGGGGGGCGGGGCGCTGGGCTGGGGAGTGCGCGGCCGGGCCGGATCGGAAGTGCCACGCGGAACCAGAGCTGGGGCTCCGGGCGTCCTGGGCGCGTGTCCCCTCAAACGCCTGGGCTCCCCTGCAGTGACGGCCGGTAGCCGCTTTCCTTGGGCTTCTCCGCCCCCCTTGCTCAACCGTAGGGCCGGCTCTCCAGAGCCTCGGGCCGAAGAGATGTCTGACTGCATTTGGGTGGGGAAGCTATGAGCACCCCACCTCGAGAGGGAGCATCTCCTCCTTTCTTTCATAACGGTCTTGATGCCCCCACTGACCTTCGACTCCTTGGATCCACCCATTTTGCAGATTGCGGCTGCCTGCGCCCCCAAGTGCTGTGACTGGCCTGGGTCCTAGTCAAGAGCCGGGGAGCAAGTAAGGGGAGAGCCCTGCTTCCCGGTCAGACAGCCCTGATTGAAGTCCTAGCCATGAGCCTCCATCTCCGCATCTGTGAAATGGGTGCTAACTGCAGCGCTTAGTAGATGTTGGATAAATGGTAACCGTCGTCTCCTTCCACCACTGGCCCCAATAGCACCTGCCACACAGCCCCGGGTGGGGACAGCCACCAGGTGAGAGTGGGTGCTATTCTGCAGTGTTGCTGAGACCAGCTCAGTAGTCAGGGCAAGCAGCCAGCTCCTGCCTTACTCTGTAAATGTGTTCCTAACAGTTTGCAAATGAACTGCATTTCGGGCAATCCAGAGGTGGGAACTGAAGAAACGAGAATTTTTTTTTAACTGTGGAATAAAGAACCTTTGTGTAAAGTGTATAAAGACCCCTACTCTTTCTGCTTTTGAGTTCAAACATTTTGTTGTGGGGCTTTCTTAAAGGAAGGCCAACTCGTGGACAGAAATTCTCTGACCAGACTTCTCTTGGGAATCCCTTGGTCCCCTGAGAGAGGACTCGGGTTCCTGCCCTCTTCTCCCCACGTGAGGTCTCCCATTCTACACCCTTGCTGGGCTCTGAATGTGTTTCTGCCCTGAGAGCAGAGAGCTGGAATCTTCATCCTCGTGGCCCCAGGACCTGGCTCAGGGCCTCCTGAGAGGCAGTGCTTGTGGAATGAATGAAATGACATCGAGGTTTTGCAGGTCAGTGCATTTATGAAGCAGGTTCAGGCAGCTGAAGTGATGTGTTCCGGGTCTCAGAGCTCATTCGAAGCAGAGCCGGTGTCAGAACCCAGAGTCTGGAGAGAGAGACACGATTAGGAGTCAGGAGACCATTCTAGGCCGGACTTTGCCAAGTACAGGCCATGTGACAAGGGCAAGTCGTTTCCCCCTCTGAGCTGCAGGACCTCGTCTGTCAAAGGGGAAACCGTGAGGGTCACAGGAGGCGTAGACGAAAACCCTGAAGTCCTGTGCAGGTGCAGAGAGTGCTCCACTCCAAGCAACATCAGAGCATCCAGTTGCTTGGAAATGGCACCACCAAGCTGATCGAGATTAAGTTCAGGAAGAGGAGAGTTTCTGCTCCTTTAAGATCTGTGAAGCCAAGAGCCAGACTGTGGTTGTGTGTGAGGGCTGGTGGAGCAAGAATGGGAGGGGTACGTGTGTGTCCGTGGCAGCTTAGAGAAGAGGCTGTGAGATGGCCGGGCTGGATCTGTCTTCATTCCGGCCCTCCGCAAACCCGCTAACTAGCTCAGGATGAAATGATTCTCAGGGTCTCAGTTTTCCCAGCTGCAGAGTGGGGGCCCTGTGGGGACAGGAGGAAAAGTTCTGGCGTGGGCTTGCTGATCTTCTCCCTGCCACTGTGACCCTGGACTCCACCCCATCCTTCCTGCCTTAGACTTGGTCAGTCAAGAGGGACAGATTACGCTGGGACCCCACAGCCCGCCTCATGAGCAGTGGGCTGGGGCCTTCCCTGGAGCAGAGAGCAGACCTCACCCTGCTTCTCCTCCCCCGCCCCCTTCCCCGGGGCTACAATGGTTGCTTTTGTTGGCAAGTATTGTATGTCCGAGCTCTTTTCCACTGAGGAAGCCTTTGTTAGGAAGGGACAGGGGAGCATAGCTAAGAGTCTGGGCCAGAAGGTGGGGGAAATGGCTGGGTGGCCGGCCCCATTTCTGGGGATGAACAGGGCCAAAGCAAAGAAACCTACGGCCGTCAGCTGGAGACCCTGCTAGGAAGGCACGTCTGGGTTCCCAGTCTCGCCTTGGGATTCTGCGCGGGCCAGACCAACTTGGGTGTTTCTCTTGCTGACAGTCTTCAACACTTAACCAACACCTCTCGGTCCAAGGCCCTGGCGGTGCAGGGGGAGATGCCAACGGTTCACACTGCACACCGTCAGCAACCGGTTGGGAGACATGACGGGTGCGTGAGAAAGCCTGAAAACAAGGTAAGACACGTGCTCTAGCTGAAGGAGCAGGGCCACCAGTGAGAGCTATGGGGACTCAGAGGCTCAGGAGAATGTTCCATGGAAGACAAGGGTCCCAGCTGAGCCTTCCCCAGGGGAGGTGGAGAGGTCGAAGAGCTCCTGGTAGGGGGCCCAGCCTGCCTAGAGAGAGCACCCCCTGAGGAGGAAGGGAGTCCCAACTTCTACCTTTGAGCATAGACAAAACCGGAGAGTTAGAGCTGGAGGGGCTCTGAGACAGTCTCCAGTCCGGTGTCCCGCCCCCATTTTACCAGTTAGGTAAACTGAGGCCCAGAGAGGAAAAGGAACTTGCCTCTGGTCACACAGCCAGCTTAGAGACCACCTGGTTTAAGAACCAAGGCACCTGCTCTCAGCGGCAGAAGCGCAGCCTCCCCTGGGCACCAGCTCTTTCCCTCCCTTGCTCCACCTTCCAAGATGAAGAGGAGGTGGTTTGAGGTGGCGACAACAAAATCTCCCCATCTCAGGAGGACTCACAGATGCCCCCAAGGGAGTAAGGGTGTCAGCCTGAGACAGGTCTCTGCAGCAGGAGGCCAGGAGCCCGCTGCAGGGGGCGGGGGTGTGCGTGATGCAATGGGAGGCACAGTTTTGTCACAACTCAGGAGGCCCAGCAGGTGGCTGTCATTTGTAGAGGACCAGCTGCTGTGCTAAACACTTTCTGTGTTACCCTGAAACACACGTAGAGGGTCCCTGTCTTATAACCCCTGGTGTGACCAGTGGCCAGTTGGGCTCTGATATACTCAGGAGAGGAGAGAGGGAATTCTGCCCTAGCTCAGAGAAAGCTACTGCCATCCATCCACTTAGGAAGCCAGACAGCCAGAGCCACCCTAGTCACCTCTCCCCTGCCCGGTCAATCACCTCCAAGCCCTATGGAGTCCGCTCCAAAGGACCCCCAGTACGGCTACTTCCTTCCATCTCAAACGCACTCCCCTTTCCCTTCCAGGCCACGAGCATCCCTGGACACTGCCGTAAGTCTGTCCTAACATCTCCTCCATCCTCTCTGGCCCCTGAAACCTCTTCTCCAGCCACATCCAGAGGAGGTATTTGAAACACACCTCAGATCAAGTGGCCACCTCCACTATTAAACCTCCAGTAAAGATCAGACTCCCTAACTCAGCCTATGAAGCTCTGCATGGGGTGGTCATGCCGACTCTCCTGCTTCCACAAACCCCCACACACAGCCCTCCAGCCTAGCTCCTTGTATGCCATGCTCTTCTAGCCTCAGGGCCTTTGCACAGGCTGTCCCCTCTGCCCTGAATGCTCTATCCTGCCTCTTCACCCAGTCAATCCCTGCTCACCCTTTAGACGTCCTTCCAGTCATCCCTTCCTGAAGCCTATCCTGGCTTCTCCGCTGGATCAAAGCCCCCTGTTGCTGCACTGTCTCTGCTCCCTCACAGCACTTCTCACTGTTGAGTCTCACCTGATTCTGTGGGATTTGCAAATTCGCATCTGCTTCCCTGCCAGACCATGAGTTCCACAGGGAGCGGGGACCTCGTCTGGACTTTTTCCTCATTGTATCCACAGTGCCTGTCTCGTGTTTGGCACCTGGTGGGCCCTCAATAAATATTAAATTAATAATCAAATGAATGGGATTTGGAGAAGGAACAGTTCGTGGAAAATTTGGGGAGTTAAGCATTTCCCAGAATAACCATTCCAGAGGAAAATTTGAGACACACACTTGCAAGTTCTGATTCCACCATCAACATGAAGGTCACCAGGCTCCACAGTTGGCCAGGGGTGGGGAGAGGAGCTGCCTTTCTGTTCCCCCAAGTCTTGAAAAGATATTAAAAATAACAAAAGCAATCATCATGGCTGCAACTTGTGGGCCAGGCACTTTTCCAAATTTGCCTCAGTTCCCACAACCATCTTGCAAGTCCGTATCCTTATCCCCGCTCACAGGCCCTGCAAGGGTAGGCGATTTGCCCCAGTACAGACACTGATAAATAGCAGAGTTGTATTCACACCCAAGTCGGATTCCAACCCACCTGCTTCCGAGTACGCCAGTGTGCCTGCACCACGTCCTCCCACCCTCCTCCCCTCAGACGTCACCTAATTCATTTTGTTTTCCTTTTTTATTTTTAAACTTTTTTGTTGTGAAAACGATAACACGTACAGAAAAGTGCCATCTGCTGATTTTACAGAAGGGTAAACTGAGGCCCAGAGAGCAGAGGTAACTTCCCTGAGGCCACACGGTGAGATTGCTCAGGGGCAGGATCACACCCCAAGTCTCCTGGCCCCCTTCAGGTGATCTTAGAGCATCACCACTCTTGGTTTCCACCCCAGCCCAAAGGGAAGAAAGACAGCTTGGGTCTCTCCCTCGCATGACTTGAGAGCCACAGTCCTGCTAGGAGGTTCAGGGCCGGAAGTTCCCAAGTCAGGGGCCCCTGACCAGCAGATTCAGTATTACTTGGGTGTTTGTTATAATTGCAGATTCTCAGGCCCCACCCCAGAGCTTCTCAATCAGAAACTCAGGGGCAGGGCCCAGCAATCTGTGTTTTAACAAGCCCTC